ACTACTACTACCAACAACAACAACAACTACTACTACTACAACAACTACAACTACAACTACAACTACAACTACTACTACTACTACTACTACTACTGCTACTGCTACTGCTACTGCTACTACTACTACTACCTACTATACTTACTGCTCTTCAAACGAGCTTTCACGAACAGTGTCTATCATGGTTGAAACGATTGCAGCTGCACTTGTCGGGCTTGGGGTTGCAGGACATCCCCCAAAGGCTAGAAGGGCTTTTCAACCTGACTTAAGCGGCCAGCTGTCGGGAACCCAAGGACTGCACGTGCAAGCCGAGCCGTTTCGTATCAATGATCCTACATTTAGCTTTTCAATGGCGAGACGGTATCTCTTTTCGTGCATGCTCTGTAGCTTCCTTGAGATTCCCTTTCCAGGAGAGCCGACAAAAAGAGTCACGAGACCGGGTGAAGGCACGGGAAAGCTCCTGCCCGATCCAGCCCTGGCCCGAAACCTCAAACTGAATGAAGGTGCTTTTGGTGATAACTTGTTTGTACAAGCCGTACGAGAAACTATGAAGGCACCCAAAGCACAATGGAGACTAGGTCAAACTGGGTGTTGACTTTTTTTCTTAAAATCGACACTATGGCGTGTGACCCCTTTAATGTGGTGGGGACCAAAGCTCAGGCAGGTTTAAGTAGGGATTCGGAATAAAAAAAGCAGCATGATGGGCTCAGAGCTCTTCTCAAAGCCTAATTCCTTTCGAAGTTTGTTTTGGGGCACTTCTCCGATGCAATGTTGTTGAGTCTGGCAAACTTCAACCATCAGGTGGCTAGCATAAACCTTTTTTGTAGGCTGGCTGGGCAGACTCGCTTTTGATGGTTCTCCGTGCTGTATGGAAGTCAGGAAGCCCAGTCATCAGCAGTGACTTTGGAGGATTCTCCGTGAAGGCTCCCCAGAGCTCCCAGTCAACGGCACCCCGTGCTGGCCCTGCGCGTAGCCACGGTGACTACTTCCCTTATCCAGGTGGCCCGCAAGGTTGTTGATCGCAGGAAGTACTCAGACATCCGGCGATCGTATATCAAGCATTTAGAGAGGTCCAAAACGGTTCTTATTTCAGACCATGCGCTTCTTTTATTTTTTGCGGATCCGAAAAGCCTGCACAGCGCACAATTCTTTCAATGCCCTGAATCCTAAACCCCAAGCCTCTCAATCCCTGAACTGGTCCTTGACCGCGCTCACTTGTCTTGAGCGCTGGGCGACAGCTGTACGAGAGGGTTGCACAAGCGACGAAGCCGGTCCACACAAGCGGTTCAGTTACAACAACAGGACCCTGTGGTGCCGCAGAAACAGCATCTTGAGTGTTGTGCTCAGCACATTTTCCCGCCGGTTTGTGTCTTCTGCTTGGTGCGAGGCGTGTGGAGGTGCTCTTACATGACCGGACGCTTCTTGAAAGGGGCCGACCCTTCGGCAAAGCTTTCTGAGACTCAGAGGTGGGGCTGGCTTTTAGCGTGACGCGACCTGCCAAAAAACAAAATCGCAAGCCCCTTCGTCGCACGACAGTCTTACACGCGAAGCCAAAACACCTGATTACCACATGGCGGGTGGCACAAAGGGCACACATCACGAATTTCAAAGAGTACCGTACAATTCAAGCACTGAGAAGGCGCTTCGCCAAAAAGGCTTCCAGTGCACACTACACCACACGGGCCACCCCACTGCATGCCATACACCACAGTGCAGAGTAGTGGATCGATGGTCATGGTCTTGGGGTTGGTCGGTTTGCCGCTTAGAGAGCCCTCAGAGAGCCAGCTGCCGATGGAAACACCACAACCCTTTCATCAACATAAACCCTGAAACACCCTCCATCCCTCAACGTCAAAATGGCCCCAAACCCCAAAGCCTCAGACGCCTGTTGGAGTCTTCTCAGGGCTCCGGCTAACCTCCCGGAGTCAAACCAAAACTCTCGGAGGATTTTTACGGGGCTGTTCCAAAGCCCATGTTTGTTGCGTCTTGGGGGTTCGGGAGTTCAAGCATGTCGCAGTTAATGTTCTTGGTGGTCTTAGGAAGTGTAAGTGGTTCTGGAGAGTTTGCGGTCTTGAAGCATTAGATCGATTAGATCCTTAATTCCTACTATTCAAGGTCGGTATCAGGATCTCGAGCCTCTATACAAGACGGCCGTTGGAAACCAAAGGTTCGGGAGGACTTCAGGGTTTAAGGATCCATGGGGCTTTGCGAAACGTTCTGTTTCCTTACAAGGACGCTGAAAGGATTTGCCAAGAAACCCAAATTTGGAGCAGCTGCATATGATGCATGTGCGGCCTGCTGCGCCGCACCCGAAAGCCGCTTGCCGAAGGCAAGACGGTGCTTGCACATCAGCCGGAATTGAAAAAGCATCGGGCGCGTAATGATTTCCTACAACCTTAAAACTTAAAACGAACTAGGTGTATCTGAATGAGTGGGACGTTGGGTCGAGAGAGGATCACGAAGGAACATCTTAGCAGGTCGTATCTCTTACGGGATAGTGTTTGGAGGCTGGCCTCTCTCTTCTTTCGGTTGGTTTCATTTTGACGACGCAAGAAATGCCGAGAGTGAGATCTCTTAAATCGCTAGAAACAGTCCCTTGGCCCCGAAGCCGTTTTGAAGGGATGCTTAAGGTTCAGGGTTTCGGGTTGAGAACAACGGTGAGACGCTTCCACTCAGGCTTTGCTGGCCAGCTGCCCAAATACGTGCCAGCTGCTTACTCCCGGGTTTGTTTGGTTCAGGGCCCCAAACTTCAAGACAGTCTAGGCTTTTGGCTTTCATCAAGGGTTAAGATGTTAACTGCTGCTTCCATGGTCTCAGACTAGCAGCGACGTAACCACAGCGTTCGAGGCGCTCGAATCTTGAAACTGGAGATGAGTGATTTTGTTATAACCGTGTTGTTGCTCCTCTGTGGTTCTGGATGCTCCAACAATCTATAAAATCGTGCTCAGCGATGCTGTCAATATATATCCGGTTCCAGATCAGCAATTGGTGTTCTGTGTGTGGGTGTTAGTTCCAAACTGTACTTCAAGTCTCAATTGCCGACTGGTTTTGTGCCGTGCTGCGGTGGGACCGTGATCAAGAAACCCTGGCAAATCCACAAGACGATGGAATCCACAACAATTTATTCTCGAATGAGAGCCCCTGGTTTCTCAGTCAGGTTAGACCCCCAAAGAGAGACTACAAGTTGGGTACGCATCCATGGCTCAACGTGCTTCACGTATGCAAGATATGGTTCCACCTCCACTTCATTGTAAGTTCCTCGTAACCGTGGCGCAGACAGCCGCCCTTCTTATGCAAAGGCTGTAGGAGAGATGCCAAAAGCACAGGAAGCACCCATGTTCAAACATACCGTGCCATTTACATCAGCTCGAGCTTGACAGCCTGTGTTTCCTCCGCTTGTTCACTGCACGAGCTCGTGTCAGTGATCCTGCTGCAAGAGATGCGAAGGCCAAGCCAGACCAGCAGTGAGGATTCCTTTCCAAATCTGAAGGTGATGTGCGAGAGGCAAGATAGTGGTTCCAGCCAGAGTAGCAGCTGCAGCAAAGTGATGATTCCAACCCTTCACGTTGCAGCCAGTCCTGGGCGAAGCGTGGAACCTGCAGACAGCATGCTGGAGCTGATACCAGTTCTGGTAGAACAAGTTGCCCAGATCCTCGGTCACATTGCTGAAGCCATCATTTCCTTCTTAAGTTTGGTTCCACAAGTACGCAAACTCAACCAAAAATCAAGAGGGAGAGTGAGAGAGAGATTGAGGACACACCCCTGGCCACAAACCTGGCGAAAGAAAGAGAGATTGATCCCAGCGATTAGCCAGGATGGAAGTGGTAAACCCAGAAGTCATGAGGGTGACGCCGGTGTTTCGCGCGTTGGAGCAGTTTGCGAGAGCATTGCGTGCTGAATCTGCCGGGGACTTCTACTTCAAGAGCCGCCAGACTGAGAGGATATCGACATTTTGGAGTCACTCTTGGCACGGAGGGCATTGGAAGAAGATCCTCGCAATTATCACCTTCTACAACGGCACTGCTGCAGTAGCCTTGGCTTTGCTCACCGGGGTATTGGTGATGGTGCTCTTCTGTTTTGGAACTCTGCCTGGAATTGACCGCGGATGGTATTTTAGTTTGCAGTGGTCTTGTTGGTCAACTTGTTCAGGGTTCGTCGTCGCGAGTTTGGCAATGATTTTCTGGCGGCCGCAGACTGGAATCTTCCTCGACCGCATTTGCATCAGCCAGAACAATGAGCGCCTGAAGACGGATGCCATCCTCAGCCTAGCTGGTTTGCTGAAGCACTCCGATAACATGCTCATTCTGTGGGACCCAACATGGACACAGAGGTGGGATAGTGGTTAACACAACGCTTCCACAGAGCATTCACGTTCGCTCCGGGCGCAGGACAGCATTGTAATTTACAGTAGTTACACCCGGTTGCCATGTTTGGCAAGTTGCCGACTGCTGACGGAGGAAGCTTGTTTTCCCGCCAAATGTAGCAATAAGCCAGGCGTTTGACGTTCCAGCCGCTAAGTCCTGCATTAAAGGCATGTTAGTAACCCCACCCTTCGTTTCACAGACTTGTGAGAACCTGTGTGTGACAAAGAGCCTTATCAGAATACCTGTCAGACTCCTATGAGATATCCGTCAGATCCGTGACAGAAGCCTGTGAGAAACTGTTGGTAAAACCTGTGGCAAACTGCGAGAGATCATTGAGAAGCCTTTTTTTAGACACCCTTTTGCACATCAGTGCCACGGCATTGCCCAGCCCTGCTTTGCCCTCACTGGAGCACAAAGCAAATGGCATAAGGATCAACAGGAACTGTTTTCACACATCAAACAGCGATCTCAAGACGTCGGTAACCATGATTGGGCGAACCTCCTAAACTTGATTCAATAGATTGCTGTGATTGCTGCTTATTTCCCGAGCAATGGGGGGCAACACGGGGTGCTGTGATATAATTTCAGTAGTTACATGCTGCTTCGAGTCATCCTCGGAAAGCTGAATTTTGATCCCTGGTGAAAGGTTGTGGTGCTTGTTTGAGCTGGCCGCATTCCTCAAGAGCAAGAAGAAGACGTCAGGGCAGCACCTTATTGTCAGGCCCATCTTCATGGGACCTCTTTCAACCTTAGCCTTCCTTACATTCTTCGCCATGGCAGTGCCGATCACAACAGCACCGGTCAACAACATAAGATCGGTCGTCACACTCATGGGGGCCATTGCATCATCGTTTTGCGCGGTTGCGTTCCCGACTGCTAGCACTATCCGAAGCTACTTTCGAGACCTGGACACTATGAAGCTGCAGTTGTTGTCGATTTCTGTTGATTCTACAAGAAGTTCATGCTGTGACCAGAAGCATGTGACCCGTTCGGGCGGCCCTATGATCTGTGACCGCAAGATGCCGGGTCCTGGAATTGAGGGCAACGTTTTACCCATGTAGTGATCCAGTGTTTGAGCTCAGGCAAGGGATAGGAACGGACCTTTCATCATACCGGCTACCCAGGATCGTGAAAGAGTGCTTGAAGATTTGGTTTGGCAGCGAGTCATCGTTTGAGGACACGGTGCGCACGGAGGTTTTGGATATATTGAACCGTGACCTCACCGAAAAGGTATTCAGTACTCCATGGGCTTTGGGTGTGACTTCTCCACTGATTCTGGCTTTCATGGACGTCTCCGCCAGCTGGACTCACGTCAATAATGAGTGGAAGGAGGAGATGTGGTCTCATCCTGCTATTGCTCTTCTGCTCGAAGGTTTGGTGCTTTGGTTGTTGTTCGTCCCACCTACCAAGGATCTTCTGATACTTTTGCTCAGGCTTGCTCGGCGGAGACCCAGGAGTACTTGTCTTGAGCTTCTCAAGAACGCGATGGTGTTGGGAACTGCAGCTGTCCCCGTGCTTTTAGTGATCGTAGCTTATGCCATCACTCGTTTTGCTGACCTTGTTGTTTTCGACGCTGAGAATGCCACTCTTCGCGCGGTGAGTTTTGGATGCTGCACGCTGCTTATAGCACTGTGCAACTTCCTGTTGCAACTTGGTCTGAAAGCACTGCTGCAACGGCCTGGATGGTAGTGCCCATGCTTTGCGATGCAGGACCGTATCACTCCGTAGAAGCAACAGCGTAGTTTTCGAGTATGCGTCCCTGATCGGGGACTGCTCCCATTTTCGAAGGGTTGAGTTCGTCTGGACTTCGGCTCTCGAAACATCGCCCCAGATTCCGTGGCGTCTGTTAAAGCCATTTGATGCCGAGCGTCGGGGAGTCACGTTGTGCTAAACCCACATGGTCGTTCTTTTCAAAACCAACCCCCGCCCCCCCTCCCTGAAAAGCAAGATGTTACACATCCAGGTGCTTGTCCGTTTCACGTATCGCTTGAATATCTGTCCATGTCTGTTGCTCAAGGTTCTAGCATAGCAAAATACCAGACTACAGCTGTGCGCCAGTAGCAAAAAGAGACACCGGCGAAGCCGTTGGTTTGCCTACGAAGATGCGATCGATGACTGGTGTGATATCACTGAGTTGCATGGTGACAAGCGTGGACCAGCTTTGAGAAATCGGTTGGAAGGTGAAGCAGCGATCCACAAAAGACTCGTGGACAGAGACCGCCTGAAGGACCCAAACAACGGAGTGAAGTACTTCAAGAGTTTCCTGCGGCCGCTCTTCGTAAGGGCGCGCAGCCAATATGTTCCTGTACCGCTTCCAGAAGTTCATGAACTTGCGCCGCGGCAATGGAGACATGCTTCGTTGGATTTCCAAGTTTCATCTCTCTGTTCAAAGCATTCAGGAAAGCCTGGAACGACACCTACCTTCCAATCACGGAGCCGATGAATGTAGAGGTCCGAGCATTCGTAGCAGGACTTCCAGCAGAAGAACAGGAAGGCCTTACCAACGAAGAGGCGATGCACAGAGCCAACGAAAGGCTCAGAGATCAGCATGCACGGACGATTCCGATCACAGCCAACCATGTACAATCCCATGTCTGAACTTGTGGAATAAGTACCTTAAAGGAATTATCCTTCTGGAGTGCGCTTTTCCATTTCTAGAGGAAGATGCTCTTCAAAGGAAGGGGTACTTCCCTACACATTAGCCCAAAAGCAAACGAAACACTTCTCACTGGAGAAGATACTCATGCAGAATCATATGCGAGTCTTTCGAGCAGCAATTGCCATAACTGGCATCATGTGGAGCTATGCTCTACTTTTTGTGTAGAAAGCTTTCCGGTCTTGGAGAGGAACCTGAACATGTGGGCAATATTTCAAGAAGAGTTTTGAACGGAAGATCCGTTTGCGTTTTGTGTGCGTGTTCTGCTTTTACTAGCCAGCTGTCTCCAGGCAAGAGATGTACAGATGTATATTCTCGCAAATCATTTTTGTAGCTCAATGTTACTCCGCCTCAGAATTTGCTTGAGCAATAATCGCATTGTTGAACGCCGACTTCACGGCCATGCAGCTTGTCCGTTTCACGTAATACCTGCATGTATCCGTGCCTATTGCTCAAGGTCCTAGTAGGTCCTAGCATAGCAGAGTACCAGACTACAGTTGTGAGCGTGCAGCAAAAAGAGACACCTGCGCTGCCTGTGTTCCTGTACGCCTAGCGAGGGGATACACGCCCAGGCTACAATCGCACCATACATACATGCATACATACATACATATAAACACATGTGTATCCTAGACTCGGATTCGGATTGTGATTCCAATATTGCGTCGCCTTCCACCCCCTGTAGATCCCCCCTTCTAAAACCGCACAGAAGGGGAATGGTAGGAATTCAGGAAAAGTCACAAATGTTTGCATGTTTCCTTCCCAGGCGCCTCGTGCCCAAGACCATGCAGTACACAACGACCACGCAGAGTCATGACTGGTGGAAAACCAAGCCGGCAGACTTAGGCACCGAGGCTTATTGCAGAAGTAGAGCGTGAAGCACGCTGAGAGCGTAAATTTGGTATTGCAGGGCTTGTGAGAAGGTCTTCCGGGAGCTCTTTCCCCAGTTAGTTATGCCCGGGTGTGCTTCTTCACTTACTCCCTTATGAAATTAGGTCCTTGATGGCGGGCGATGTTGTTACACTCCCTCTTCCTTTCGATCTTGAAATTTCACAGATGGTGCAAGAGGGTCAGAACCAAAGTACCCCAGGGTCGCGCCAACCACTCCGATCATGTGCGATTCATGGTTCCAGCTGAGAGGTTGCGGTCAACAGTTCGTCAACTGAAGGGCGGCCGTTGGAACTTTCGAACCCGATCTTGAATCTGCGCGTCCCGTGTCCGAACACTTTGCCTCATAGTGCAGCTAGATGCCAGCTTGCGGGCACCGTCAACCGGATAACCAGAGATCATCCGGAAACCACGCGAACACAGATACACATGGCGAAAAGCTCCGTTAAGTCTCTAAACCCGAAAGATGGTTCGAAGTTCCAGAGGTCACCTCCCATGGTCTCAGTGTCCTGACGAGAGCCTCGGCCTCCTGCTTGGCAGCCCAATCTCCAGACGCTGGGTATCACTGGTGTTGCGGAGGTTTGAAACTCAGGTGTTGCGGATTCAAGGCTTGAGAGGTGTGCAGGTTCTATAAGAGCAACGTTTGAATTTCATTCACATCTTGAGTGCAAGCTTCGAGTGTGTGAATCTCGACGGGAATTCATGCCTCTGACGCCCTTGGCACCAAGCCCCGAAACACTATCACTACAGATTCCCCTGCGAAGGTTTGCCAGTGGCAACACAATATCTCAGCCTTAGCATTGAGGGCTGGAAGGGCTGATCGTTTTGAGGCTTATTAGGAGTTAGAGTTCGAAGAAGACGGGAATGGTTTCGGAGGCTTTTCTGGGCTCCAGAGTTTCACCTGTGACTGCCAGGGATTGGGCGCTTGGCTTTTGCAGGACCTAGACAGTTTCTCACAGTGCCTAGGAGCTTTTTGAGCTGCCGTGCAGTTTCGCGCAGTGGGCGCATTAGAGGTGAGAGGTGCGGTGAAGGTTAGAGTTTCGGATTCAGAGCTTCTAGCCAGCCTTGCACATCCACCTGTGTGTCGTGAACCATTGCATCCCAGGAGAGCACCTGCGTGAGCTTTTAGGCGGGGACTTTTGGGTCCAAGGCCGTAGTTGTACGTCAGGGACTGTCGGGGCTTATGAGTTGGACAGTGTCGTCCACATGCTTTTAGCAAATGTTCCACTGGGTCTCGACTGCAGAGATTCTGCGACCCCAAGCCAAGTAAGCCCTCGAACTGCTTACAGCCAAAGCTCCCGAAGCCTTAAACTGTCAGTACACCCGGGAAAGGGACTGCGTTTTGTTGAGTTTCTTACGTGATGGCCGAATCCCTATTGGAGGTGCACCTCACCGCTTGTTCGCTCGACACGGATGTGAGCACTTTCTGATTGTTCGGTGTTTGGGAGCTTGCTTTGGTCTTGGCCCGGTCATTCCGGGTTAGCACTGCGTTGCGATCTGCATTTGAACGTCAGAATGCTTCAACACCCTGCCATCAAGTCAGGGCTACCAATAGCTCCGCCCCGTGTACTTGTAACAATGCGGTTCTTCAGCAGCAATGACAAGCAGTAGAAACTTAGCATATAACTTAGTCACATCAACCACATCATGGCTCCGACACACCGGATACTTCTGGCTGTTGACACGTGGTGGAACTGCCGGAGATCGAAGATCACAACGGCGAACATCACGTAGGAGCCCCGTCAAAGTGCCCAAACCTGGTATCAAGCTGGTGTTTGTGCAACGGATGACTTCTTCAGCAAAGGTTTTATGTACATGTACATGTATATATGTTTCTTTTGGGGCACTGGATCGAGCTGCCCATGAGCGGGCAAGTATACTCACAGCCTCGATACCGGAAACTGCGAACCCCCATGGAAGTTCCAGGAGCAGCTGCAGAAGTCCTTCGTCAAGGTGCGGATGCAGTTCGAGAAGGACACGGAACGTCTGGAGGAAGAGACTGCTCAACACTGCGAAGCTCAGAAGGAGGTCTTTACACAGCTGCAAGCGGCCATTGCCAACACCCGAGCGCATACTGGCTGTGGAGAAGGAGCAGGACCAGGTGCCCGTGGACATCAGCGACGAGTGGCGACAGTTGCAGGCATCGTGCGAGCAGGAGCCAGACGAGATGATGGCGGAGGGCCTTGCAGCCAGATTGGGGAGACAGTTACAGGCGACTTCTTGGAGCAGCCCCGACGACCCCACCACGCACGACCAACTTGGACCGAACCATGCCGAGGGGGACGCCGCCCTGTCCTACCGAGGCGGGCAGACGAGCCAGCATGCTCTGGCTGGCAGGTTCATGGAGCAGGCTATCAACATGGCGACTCACAGCAGAGAGCGGAAACACTTACCCCACACTGCAGGGAGATCCGTACATGACCTCGCTCAGCACGAATGAATACGGGGCGGCCGCCACCCTAGTGCTACATCGGGGACAAAGCATCAAGCTCAAGGGGTGCGACCCGGCTCCGAGTCCAAAGCCGGGCACCAGTCTGGCAGACAAGCTCGAGCGAGCCAGGCGCAATGCTCCAGACCGACGACGAGGACGATCTCATTAGCGAGCTGCATGGGCAGCAAAAGAAGGGGGCGGAGATGGGGGAGACCGCCATCGACTGAGCTCCTACTGCAGGCACACGCGGCAGAGGAGGTCGTTTGAACGTACCTTCCGATGCGGTGGCCACGGTGGTGAGAATCCCGACAGCTCGTTGGAGGTGATCGTTTACCGCCTCTATGAGTGGCAGAGCCAACATGCCGCCTATAAAGTGTTTTTTTTCGTTCGGTCCCCTGCAGTCAGTTTTGGCAGCATGGAAGCAGCAGCACTATTCATGATCCAAATCAGGAGCATGGCGATGGATGTGACTTGAACTGGAAAACGGGAAAAATTCATGATGCTCTTCAATGAGAAGCTGACTCTCTGGTGGATGGCCATTGCACCCAACTTTGGAGCCCTATGCGGGGGATTTGTGCTCATGTTGGAGGCTACTCTCACGGTGGCTTCAGTGCTGCTCCTGCTTTGGGGCAACGGCAACTGGGCTCAGCCTTGGAGGCACCCGAAACGCCTCTGCTACACCTTTGAGATCCTCACTGTCTCGAGAGTGTTACC